TTCTACAAAAATTATTTCTTGATTTCCAGTTAGGAATTTTTTAAGCATTTTTACTAGTTTTACTAAAATTTACATGGCTTTGGCTTACAATTGTTTGGCATGACTTTAATTAATTATTTATGAATATCATATGACGTATCTACATTTTTCTACAAAAATTATTTCTTGATTTCCAGTTAGGAATTTCTTAAGCATTTTTGCTAGTTTTACTAAAATTTACATGGCTTTGGCTTACTTTTCACAAAGGAGATTTAAAATTTTGAACTGAGCGTTTTGTACACAGTTTGTACATTGCCGGATTTCAAACCGAGTGGGGACTGGGCAAAATCCCCTAATTGGATAATCACGAGATAAGACTTACATAGAAAGAAAGCCCTTGTTGAGAAATGCAAAATTCTAAAATCTGGCGTCAATCAGTTCAATAATGAACGAGTTACGAGCTTTCAAAAATTCTAAAATTTGCAAAGAAATGTAAAGCCGCAAATGTGCCCGAATTTTGACCATTTTCCGGACACATTCACGGCTTTCCATACATTTCTTTGGAAATTTTAGAATATTTGAAAGGCTGTAACTTGCTCACTATTGGACCGATTTACATCAAATTTTGGAATTTTGCATTTGTCAACAAGGGCTTTCTTTCTATGTAAGTCTTATGTCATATTTATCCGATTAGGGGATTTTTGCCCAGACCCCACGGTTTGAAATCCGGCAATGCTATCAAACACGTCGTTGATCCCCTGTTTTCTTTTTTTTTCTTTTTTTATCCCCTTCCTCTTTTTCATTTTTTTCTTTTTCTTTTGCTTTCGTTTTTTGGGTTTTGACAAGCGCCGTTTTGGGAACTTCATGCTTGTGAAACTTGAAGGACTGCTACACATCAAAGATCCCTTGTCAACTTGGCCTGCCTGCAGGGTTTGCTGGGACGACTGCTGTACGTCGATGACCCGATCGGCTTGTCGTCGAACCGGTTGATCTCCCAGCCGGCATTGATGATGAATTATTTCCCGTTGCACTCGCTGGCGAAGGCGACACTTCACCCGAACCACATGTAAGAATCCTTCCAACATGTCCTCGGTAGCTACGTGACTTAAATACGAAGATGAACGGTCCATAAACCACGTGGTTCTGACTGAGTAGCTTAATGACCAGGATTGGTGTTGAGTTCAGAAAAGACGGCTGAGTTGTTGCTGCTATTAGGGCGATGGTATGGTAGAGAATCACCGAGATAAAGAAGTATCCAGCAAGCGTCTTGTTAAGGGCATTGTTTTGCACTTGTGCTGCAAATGAGGTTGGAGAATTCACGGCGTTATTGGCTAAAACCCAATTTCTTACTCTGTCAATAAAAATAGCAATAATTTGGATATAAGATATGAATCGGCAGGGTACATGGTAGATGTATTCTTCTTCATAGAAAGGACGCTGTAGCTCGATGGATCAAAACATCGCACTTAAGCCCGATGGTGCGAATTCAATTCCCATTACAATGGCGGTCCCTGGGTATGTGATTAGAGTAAATAACTTTCTTAAAATATAGAAATAGAAATTATGGCAAATGGCAGTTTTCACAGCCCTAAATTGATTAAACAGACTTCTATAATTACCTTTGCGTGGCAATGATTGCTATAAAGGATATCACTCCAGGTACGTGCATCCATGCTACAGTCAACATCACTCGATACCAGGTGACTCCTCCACTCGCCCACTTTAACTCGCACGACTTCCGGTTCTCTGACGTCACGGAATCTTCAACTCCCCATGCAAGGCCGAAACCAAGAGCAAAGCCAATAGTCCAAATACAGCACTGGGCGGCGATACGAAGTTTCGCCGCTTTCGGCGAAGCGAACACCGATATTTGTTTTACAAAATGGAATGTTTTTAACAATGAGTAGCACTGGAGAACTGTTAGTATTATAGCGTACGTGACGTAGCCAGACACCTCTAGAAATACAGCCAGTCTACAAAAGTACGCCATAACGTCGTCTTGAGTACTGTTGTTTGTGGAGTTGATATAAGATAATGTATAGCCGATAGTGGATAGCAACGATGAACAGCTTATGGCTTTATAGTGTATTGAAGTTGAACGGGTTTTAAGAGGGACTTTGCTGAAAATCACCAACGCAGAAATGTTCCCAACTAGACCTAGGAAGATAACGATGATGATCCAATAGCTGAACAGCATATAATTTTCTGTCGTGTTTTGTGAAGTTGTTTGGTTCGTTTGCAGACTGTTTGCCATGGCTGTTTGGGATGCCAATAAACGTTGTCCAAGGAAACGTCAATTTTCTGATTTTTAAGGCAATGTTTTCTGAGCTTTATGTGATATTCTGACACACTTGATGTCAAATTGCTTGTGTCTGCTGAAATAGAATCAAAAATGTAATGTTACTTGAATTGTTACCTGTTGAAGTAGTGGCTTTTCTTACCTAAAATATCGTACTTAAGCTTCTTTTGCTATTTATAATATGGCAAAAAACACGCATCAGGAGTTTCGTATGAAGACGTTTGGTATTAAGTATGGACATTGCGTCAATGGGCGTGGCAGCGATGAAATTTCACGTCTTTCAAGTCTAACAAGTTTGGGTTTCTCGACATTTCTCAGCCTCCATCCCCCACTTCCCCAGACAGCTTGACGAATAGATTTTTATGAGATATCCTAAAAAACAGCCGTGTGCTGTTTTATTAAAGTTCGGTTTGTCCACGTTTGCTTGCCAGCTTCCACCCCCACTACCACAGGCGGCCTAACAAATTGATTTCTATAACAATAACACAACCTTATTGCTCTCGTTGATATTTGAATTAACAAAAGCTTTTCTTTCCTCAAAGCTGAACTGAATTAGATGGCATATATATTGGCATTCAACTGTAAATTATCGGCAAAAACACGGCTATACCTTTCGGTAAAACTTATCAAAAGGAAGACTTCTTCCCCTGTGGCTCACTGTGGTATTTTCTCTCTGCATGGCGCCATTTGGCTTGATAGGTTTTAACTAATGAAGGCAAGCTTTTGAAGTAATTTCAGCATTCTGTGTCATCCAGTTTTTCTTTGGTAGTAGATCTTGTGCACCAAAAAAATAAATAATTTTTCGACACATCGCACGTCATTTTATTGTCTCGGCGAAAAGCTTACTTCATTTATTTTCAGTATTTATTTACTAGTAATTTCCAGTAACAGTTGGAGAAATTGAAAGTGCCGGAAAGTGACACTGAGGGTGTCTAGCCCTCTTTTAACTCAAATTATAAAGCCATGACATGGCATAATTTCTGTCGACTAGAAAGTGTGTGTGTGGTTCTTTTCTTCTGATTCTGTGCCTATAAGGAAGTGTAACTGAAGACCACGTACGTACGGACGAGTTGGTTTACTCAAAGGCCCGCACATAGATCATATATATCAAGTAATTCAGTAACCTTGTCTACAAATTTCCCACTTTTTTTCTTTGATATATTAAAATATATTAAAGATCTTCTATTAATGATGGCGCAAAATAAGCAATATAAAAATAATTAGCAACTACAACAAAAAATGGGAGAATGAACAATGATAAAAGGCGCGACGAAGCAAAAATTTGCAAGCATTAGATTTCTCCTAAAAGAATCTGCCAACGCGCCATCCAATAGCCATGGTCATTTTCGTCAACAGCTGTTGATCGTGGGCCCAAAGTTGATCTTGCTAGAAATCTTACCTGTGTGAAACGTGGCGATACTATTAAGCATTTCATTAATTCAGTTATATCAGGGACTGAACATCTCAGCCTGTCTTCATTCTACAGTAATTGTGTGCTACTATATGTCTGTTCAGATGAAAATCTAGTGAAAAAGGTGTTCAATTAGACATCCAGCTAAGGTGATATATATCGTAAGTTGCATTGACGTAAAATGCTATATCAGTTGTTTATACACGACATTCTCCAGCCTTATAGCGTTTAATCAGTCGAGTTATAGCCATCAGGAAAATTGTTAATGTTTGAAGCTGGCGTTTCTTATAGTTGTTTTTGTTGCCACTGCTGTTATGTTTGTTTTTGTTTCCATTCATGACTTAAGTGGGTAGAGTTAGTTTGCGATATTGCGATGAAGGCTAATATATTTGCGGCTTTACTCTGCAGACTTAAGTTGTTGTATTCTGTACGGCCAGGTATAATCTCTGTAACAGATTTCATTATTCTGCTTGACGACATCGGAAACGGCTGAAAAGCTTTCTCAAGATAACGACAAAAGAACATGCCATAAAAGTTTCTTTTATATTTGTAATCCTCCACTCGTGTTTTGTTTTAAATGATGATGTTTTTGTACTTTGGAGTAGTTTTTAGACAATGAAGCTGCGAGAGAATAAACTTTAATAACTAACTGAGTAAGTGATAAGATCAGAATCCTGTTTTCGTTCTTTGAAGGGGTAAAAGCCATTTGGTTATCGCTTCCTCTTACTCCCGAAGATTCGAAGATTTGTAAAAAAGGCTCGCGTAGATTCGTGGGAAAATTTGGAGAAAGTATTCCACTAAAACGCTTTTTGAATTTGTTGGTTTTTGTGAAATATACTTAGGTTTAGAAGCGAACTCTTTTGTTTAGTAAATTTTCCTGGAAATGAAAACAAAATAGCGTAAATCCACTTCCTTCAAGTTGTGGCACATATAAATAGGGACTTAAGCAGGCCCCTAGCAAAAACCTTGAAAAATTAATAAGAAATAAGCACTGATCCAGATAAATTTCTTGCGCCTTTTGTAAATTTAGGTTTCCATAGTTTTAACTAGTATAGAAGCGATTGTGTCAATTATTTTTGTGCCGATTTGAGTCTAATTTGAGTTCGGAAAGTGGTAACGTAGTGTGGGTTATTTACAACTATAGTTAGGTTGTTTTAGTATCAATGCACTTGACTGAAATATTTTTAGGGCAATTGTAATTACGCTTTTGTTTATAATTTGATTTGTTATTTAGCAAGTTTATCTAGAGTGGTTTTCATAAACCCGTGAAACAAAGTGTAATAATTAGAGTGTAATAGATCGTAATAGTCGCGTAGAGACAATAAAAAAATAAAAGAACCAAAGTGTAATGGCGATAAATACGCTAAAGTGTGTTTCACGGGTTAATGAAAACCACTCTATCAAGCTTATATTTGTTTAAAACAAGCACAGCAAATTCCCGTGTGGACCGGTAAACCAGAAATTTGCCTGATTTTTTAAATAACATTAGAATGTTATTAGAGACTTAAATGACATTATATCTATCTATCGTTGAGTTTTCCTTTGGTCAAAGGTATTGATATTAGTCAGTACCGAAGTTATGACGCCGTGAAACAAAGGCGTGTTTCAATTAAGCTCACAGACCTATCGTTTTACATTAAAACCATTATTTTTTTCCCAGTGAATGAGTCACAAATAAGCTGTTATTCCATCGTGATCGGCAGGAAAAATTCGATAAAGTACAAAAAAATCGATATTTTTTCGACTTTTTTTGCTTCACTTGATGTGAAATGGTTTAATATGAATATACCACTAGCCAATAGCCAATAGCCAATACCCAATCAGTACCAAATACCAATAGCCAATCAGTACCAAATACCAGTAGCCAATCAGAATGCCAGATTTGTGATAGTCCATAATTTGGTTGATACTTATTAGTATAAGATGAAATTAGGTGAAAACTCTATTTTACAGCTACAAGCGCAATCTTGAAAGGTAGCCAAGCCTTTGAATCAAAACAAGGCAGGAGATTTTTCGTTGAATTTGCTGCCTTTCTTGTCATTTTGTCCAATTTTTCATTAATTCATGACAGATTTGTTATCCTGGTAACTAGATTTAGAAAAACACTAAAAGAAGGGCTTTATATGGACATACCACGAGAGACTATCATAAGTTTAAAATAATTTGATTGCTCGTTGAGTTGTAATGGTTTTCAATTATAACTTGTAGTTTTTCACAGGACTAAATCACAAGCTCTTTGTTTATCGTTCTCATGTGACTACTCACCCATCCAAACCCCTCTCTCTTATCCTCCCCTTCCCACCCAAATTTTAAAACACTTCTATTGTTATATTTTATTCACCATAGACACTGGTGAAAAACGTACTGCGCATGCACACAGCTTTCCCGCCAGTGGGCGCTCGCGTCTTGAAATCTGTAAACAGAGCGCCTGGCGATTTATAGCGACAACACAGAAAACACTACAAAAAACTTCATTTTCTCAAAATAGAAATGACAAGATAAAAATAGAAACTACATACTAAAAGGACCTATCATGAACAATGATTGATGGAAATATGAATCTTATATATCCGTGAACGAGCTTATAAATTGTAAAAAACTTTCTCAAAAATCGCTTTACAAAGGAAATTAGGCAGATTTCAGCGGGAAAGCTGTGGACATGCGCAGTGCGTTTTTCACCAGTGTCTTCACCATATATTAGATTATATATGGAAAATGGAAACCTCAATTAAGCTCTCACCAACTCGTTCGAGGACTTTCCGGCGAAAATGCGACAGTTTATCTCTAAAGTTTAGTACTTATAATCTAAGCCGAGATTATCCTTTTAAATTGTCTAGTGGAAAAATACGTTTCGTTTCCGTATTGAAAGGAGAGTAAAGAGAAAACTGAAAAGTAACTGAGCAGGAAAAAATCTAGTTATAGTGGTAAGTTACTCGTCTTTTATGGTACCAGTCCTCTTGCTATTGTTGTCATGATCTTTGGGTTATTCCAATAACTGTCACCGTAAACCAATGGCAAAACATTTTATTATAGAAAATCTCATTAACGTTTTTACATACAATAGTCTAGAGTTAACACAGCTGCGAATTGACTGGGATAAATGAACATCAGTGGAATTCCGATGTATTTCTTGGGATGCAAGGGATGTTTTTTACACAGATGTTATGTCGTTTATTAGCATGTGCCGTTTGAAATCATTTCCTTTTTTATTTTCACCTATTGAACCAACTAAAAACATCTGCTGTGTGTAAACACTAATGGTCATTTCATTCGAGCGAAACTTTTCTCTTTACCTAATAAATGGAACATTATTATTTTTTTTTTTTTTTTTTTTTCAAAGTAAAAGAGAGTATCTTTCTTCGTTTTTACTGATACAAATTTTCTGTAATAACAGCAATAAGTAAAATCCGTTCTGATGAAGTTATAAACGTAGTTCTTTTATAAAAACATTCCGTGATACAATTTGTGAAGATTTTTTATTGAATTCAAATCTGTTCAAAACTACGGCTGGTTAACTTTAAATATTGGTTTCAAATAAGCGGAATACGTGTCTATTCATTACAAATATTTATGATTGGATGTGTTATCACCATTGCATTTACTTTTTCAGGAAATTGCCCTTCGTGGTTAATGTGGAGTAATTCAAAATACTTTCTAAAAATAAA